TGTTGGGGAATCCAGGGAGGGAGGGCAGAGGCCAGACCACAGGAAAGGCAGCCCCCAGTTCACTGCAGTGCCTAGCCCAGTGGCCAACCATTTAGGGAGTCTGGGTCTGACCGACCAGCAGTGGGTCTAGACCCCAGGCCGGGGCCCTGGCCTCCAGGACGAGGAGCAGGAACAGAAGAGAGATGGGAAACTGGTCCCCTAGGGAAGCCTACAGATGGGGAGGAGGGTTTAAGAGCCTCAGTGGGCCTGGCTCAGGCCAGAATTTCAAGGATGCTGTTCCCCCTTACAGGGCCCTCTGCGCCTACGTGGTGCACAGGAACGTGACCTGTGTCCTACAGGAGGGAGCAGACAGCTATGTGAAGGCTGAGTACCGGCAGTGTGGATGGGGGCCCAAGTGCCCCGGGACAGTCATGTAAGTGCACCCCCGTGCCACCCACTCAGGACTGCTGGGCACGGGCCCCAGGCCTGCCTTCCCCCGAGAGCTGCAGCCAGCCCCACGAGGGGCTGTGCCTCCTAGGACTCCACAGAGCCCATTACCGGGCTCCCACGCAGGCTGTCGGGTGGGGGTGGGGAGGAGACATAGGTTCAGGTCAGGGCCCACAGGGGGACCAAGGGAGGGTTCCCAGAAGAGACACAGAATAAGGCACGAAGACGCAGGGGAGGCAAAGGGGGCTGGAGGTGAACAGAAAGGGCAGGGGTCACACTGATAATGGTTGATGCCAAAGGGGCTCTGGGAAGACCCAGGAAGGGCCGTGGTACTGTGGGAAAGGCGGGCCAGGGGTGAGGGATGGAAGCCCGATTGCCGGGGCCGGGGACAGACAGACGGGGCCGTGCGAGGATACGTCAGGCTGTGCCCAGGTGTGAGGCACAGGTCTGTACTTGGAGAGGTGGAAGTGCACGTCTGGAAACAAACCCACTTGCTCCAGTGTGTCAGTGGGTAGACATGTACGTGGCTGAGCAGGTGGAGGAGGGGCCCTGGTGAGCCCTGCCCTGCACCCCCGGGCCTTCCCTTTTGTGTTCAGAATCAGAGACGCCACCCACCAGCCTGGGTGGCCAGAGCTGAGTTCCCAGAGCAAGCTACAGAGGAGTAGACAGAACTGAGGGGCCAGATGGGGGCAAGAGTGGCCCCTGCTCACTGGGAAGGCTGTGCACCCCAGCTCCAGGGCAGTATACCCCCCAACCACGGAGGAAGGGCTGAGGTCATGCCAGAATTCTTCCAGGTACCGCCAAAGCCGGAGTGGAGCTTCTACGGGCAGCATGAGCTCAAGGGGATCCAAAGTGGTTTCGGGGACACTGGGGCTAAGTCCCTGCTAGTGTCCTCCCCAAGGCAAACAGGATGGGGTGGGGCTTCAGCTGCACCTGCTCCTTAACCCTTCTCTGAAGCCCTAGAAGGCCTGCCTCCTCCCCACTGCCCTTGTCGCCATATGCACAGAAAAGGGAAGCTGGTGGTGGTGTAGAGGTGGGGAGATAATCCAGATCTTGTGCTGAGAGGCAGGAGCCTCAGGCCACAGGTACAGGGCCACGCCCTCTCCCCCTCCCCCACCCCACCCAGGTACCGCACAGTGCTCAGACCCAGATACAAGGTCGGCTACAAGACAGTGACGGACCTCGCCTGGCGGTGCTGTCCTGGCCTCACTGGAGAGGGCTGCCCCGAGCACCTCACGGACCATGGGGCCACCCCAGCCCAGCCAGAGCCTGGGCCCCAGATTCCCTCGGGGCAGCTGGGCCCGGCACCCCGGCCGCCTCCTTCTAGCAGAACGGCTTCCAGCCCCTATGGTGAGTCTGCCCAGAGGAGACCTTGCCGGGTGATCAGGTTTTTTCTGGGCGGTGGGGAGGGGATCGACCTGGGCGGCCTGAGCTCTGGCAGGGCCGGGGAGGGTGCGTCTCATGCTGAGCTTGTGGGAGGGCTCCCAGAGCCCCTTCCAAAGCTGAGAGAGCTGTGCTCAGCGGGAAGGTCAGCTTGGAACAGGAAATCTCTCGGGTGGCCTGGCCACAGGACAAGCTGAGGGAGGCAGGCCAGCCATCCCCTGGGGTGCTCTCGTCTGTTCCAGGAAGGAAAGGCCCAGGGCTGTTCGGTGAGCGGCTGGAACGCTTGGAGGGCGATGTCCAGCGCCTGGCACAAGCATATGGTGCCCTCAGTGGCCTGGTGGCCAGCCACGAGGACCCCAGCAGGATGACCGGTGGTCCTCGGGCTCCCGCTGCCCCTGTGGGCTTTGGGATCATCTCTGAGGGGTTTGGGAAGCCCAGAGACAGAGCTGGAGGGCCACTCCCACCTCCCCTGGATGAGATCTTGAGCAAGGTGACAGAGGTGAGCAACACGCTCCGGACCAAGGTGCAGCTGCTGGACAAGGTGCACGGGCTGGCGCTGGGTCACGAGGTGCACCTACAGCGGCTGCGGGAGGCCCCTCCATCCCCGCTCACCTCCCTGGCACTTCTGGACGAGTATGTGGACCAACGGCTGCACCGACTCTGGGGGAGCCTACTGGATGGCTTCGAGCAGAAGCTGCAAGGGGTCCAGAGTTCCTGCGACCTGCGGGTACAGGAGGTGCGGCAGCAGTGTGAGGAGGGCCAAGCAGCCAGCCAGCGGCTGCACCAGAGCCTGGATGGCCGAGAGCTGGCCCTGCGCCGGGAGCTGTCACAGCTCGGGACCAGGCTGCAGGGCCTGAGCATGGCCGGCGGGGGCGGCTGCTGCAGCCGGCTGACCTTGATCAGCGCCCGCGTGGACAACCTCGAGAGGAACCTACAGGCGGTCACGGAGGCCCAGAGGGGCCATAGCCCCCTCACCAGGGATGAGCTGGAGCGGCTCTCTGCTGCCATGCTCCAAGGGGGTGCCGACCGGCTGCTGGAGGGCCTGGAGACCCTCAATGGGACAGAGGGTGGAGCGAGAGGCTGCTGCCTGGGAGCAGAGGAGGGGGGATGGGATGTGAACAGCTTCAGGACCCTGCTGGAAGAGCGAGTGCAGAGCCTAGAGGAGCGCCTGGTGATGCTGGCTGGGGAGCTGAGCCATGACAGCGTCCCACCGGGCAGGTCGGCCCGGCCCCTGGTGCAGACGGAGCTGGCGGTATTGGAGCAGCGGCTGGTTTCGCTGGAGACCTCGTGTACCCCCAGCACCACCTCGGCCATCCTGGACAACCTCGCAGCAGAAGTGAAGACCTGGCAGAGCCGGAGCGAGGCCCTCCTGCGCCAGGTGGCCAGCCACGCAGCCCTGCTCCGGCAGCTCAACGGCACCGTGGCCGAGGTCCAGGAGCAGCTGGCAGAAGCCACGGGCAGCTCGCTCCAAGGCGAGATCACCCTGCTCAAGGTCAATCTGAACTCAGTGAGCAAGTCGCTCACGGGCCTCAGCGACTCTGTCAGCCAGTACTCCGATGCCTTCTTGGCGGCCAACTCCTCCCTGGATGAACGAGAACGCAAGGTGGAGGCAGAGGTGCACGCCATCCAGGAACAAGTCAGCAGCCAGGGCTCTCGGCTTCAGGCGGGCCAGCGGCAGGTCCTGAGCCTGAGGGGGGAGCTGGAGCAACTCAAGGCCGGAGTGGCCGATGTGGCTGGCGGGCTGAGCCGCTGCCGGGACACAGCCCAGGACCTGCAGCACGTGCTGGGCCGCTTCGACCAGAGGGTGGCTCAGGTGGAGGGTGCCTGCGGGAGGCTGGGCCTGCTGGCTGCGGGCCCCGACCGCCGGCCCGCCGACTCCCTCAGGCCCAGGGAAGGCCTGTGGGGCTACGTGGACCAGCTGAACCGCACACTGGCTCAGCATGCACAGGACATCGCCCGCCTCCGGGACGACCTCCTGGACTGCCGGGCCCAGCTGGCCGAGCAGGTGCGGCCCCGGCAAGCCAACTAGGCAGGCCAGACAGGACACACCCCTGGACCCCACCGCCCCTGAGGATGACCCTCCAGAGCCCAGCCTTGCCCAGCAGTGTCTCCCAGCCTCCCCTGGCCAGCGTGGATGCCACTTCAGAGGCCACGGAAAGAATAGTTGTGGTCCAGCTCCATATGACTGTCCCAGCCACCAGAATCCACACTGAGTGCTGTCCCAGCTGGACAATTCAACATCGTGGTCAAGGCAAGGACATCATGCCTGAAAGCCAGGGTGGACCTAATTGACCTCACAATCCAGTGTGCAAATTGTCCCTCTGCAGATGCACCAGGGTCTGCACTTGTACAAAGACCTACAGGCCCAGTCACAGACCGTGACCTGTCCACATCTCCCTTTGTCCCCAGGCCATAGCCCCCAGCCTGTGGAGGCTTCTGGTTCCCTTGCCCCCTTGGCTTCTCTCCCTAGCTGTCTGGGCTCAGTTTCTGCAGGAAGGTGGTGCCCACTGGCACCGTCCTCATACCTGGCAGCTTCGAGGATATGGTTTCTGAACCAAGGACGAGAGGTTTCCACTGGCCCTGGTCCTTCGGGACAGAACAGAAACACAAAGACTCAGCTGAGAGAGTTCTTTTTATTTCTTTTGACCCTCGCCTCAGGTGAGGGCTTAGGCAGCTGTAGATTCCCTGAGAAAAAGGACAGGGTCCAGGCTCTGTTTAGAGACCCCACCCCAATTCATCCTTTCCCTTCTCTTTCCCAAAAGTGCTTCAGGGCCTCTGGTCCCCACACTCTCCCCTCCTTTCCATCTCCCCCTCTCCCCCACCCCAGGTTAGAGCCTCTCTTCAGAGAATAGCCCTCATAAATATCATGGCCTGAATGAGGCCAGACTCTGAACAGGAGGCCACAGGAGAGAAAGGCCTCCAGGCCCAGTTTCCAGCACCCCAGTGAAACCCCAGCCCCTCCTGGATGTTCACTAAGAGAAATTCAGGTATGGCACCATTACAAGATAACCTGACATGGGACATGGGACAGCCAGCATGCAGAGTTCCCAGAGGCCCCGATGCCCATCTCTGCTGAAGCTCTTGGCCTCAGTTCCCCCACAGCAGCCCGGGTCTTTCTGTGCTGTGTTGCAGGTCCCATGGTCCTGCCTTCTGGTTTCTTCCCTCCACTGTGGTGCTGTTGGGGGAGGGCAGGCCTGGATTAAAGCTTGTCATCCATCTGAAGGTATTTTCTTCCCCAAGGACAGCAGGGAAGGCTGCACCACTGGGCCCCTCATCCCTGTACGAGCGTGCCCAGCAGCTCTGTGGGCACTGAACTGACCGGCAGAGTCTAGGGAGGGTGGGCAGGGTTTGGGGCTGTGTCCTTAGGGGAGGTGCTCAGAGGAACAAGGGCAGCAGCTGGGTACAGGCTAGGCCAAGTGGGAGTCACAGGCCCTCAGCCCTTGCACTGCCCCGGAGTCCTGTTGCTGGCCAAGTATCCCGGCCTGGGGTGTGCTGAGGTACCAGGGAGAGTGTGAGGTCTGGCTGAAGAGCTATGGGAAGGGGCCGGGGTTATGGAAGGCTCTGGCTTCAGAGGGTGTGGTCCATGCTGTGCAGATGGGACTCAGCCACTCTCCACTGCTGCTGCCAGCCCTTTCCCATGCCTATGGGTCTCAAGCCTCATGGGGCTGCCCTCTTCTCCCTGTCATATCAGGAGTGGGGACAACATACCAGGGTGGCAGGGACAGAGATGTCAAGGGCATGGAGAATCCTGTAAGGGCCCGGGTGACAGTCGCTTAAGTGCTACAGGCCAGGGCCATGCTGAGGCCTGGGGCAGCTGCCCCCACCTTTTGCAGCCCAGCTGGCAAAGGCAGGAGACAGGACAGGGAGGAGGGAGGGTCTCTGTAGCTGCCAATCAGCCCTCAGCCCCCTCCTCCCCTTCAGTGGACTGGCTCTGTGGTCCCCAGCTTCCGGCGTCCCACTCCCTGGGACACCCACTCCCTGGGACACCTGGCCAGGGAGGAGGGGGCGGCCGGGGCAGGTTCAGGCCAGTGCATCAAAGTCCACAGTAGCCAGTGGCTCCCGCCAGTAGCAGCAGTTGCTGTATTCAGGGTGGGCCAGGTCTGTGCTGGGGCCACGGGCCACGGGCGGGAAGAGGAGCTCGACCACCTCACCGAGCCGCTCGTACCTGTGGGGAGAAGAGCAGCGCTGAGAGCCTGAGCTGCCACCAGGCCCCAGCCCCCATCAATGGGGCAGAGACTGCATCCTGCCTTGGGGCCCAGGGAGAGGCTAAGGGCATGGGGACTGGAGAGGGCGTGGGGTTTGGCCTCACGTGGATTTGTGGTTCTTCATGAGCTCCTGGATGAGCTCTCCCCGGGGGTTGACCGTGAAGATGCGAGAGGCAGGTAGGCCCACCCGCCGGTAGGCAGTGACATCCTGTGGGGGACAAAGGAGGGGCTGGTGGGCTGGGAGATAAGATAGGAGGTGGCCGTGCCCGTGGGGAGGTGACGCACTCACATTGGGCCTGTTCCCAAAGGCTGCATAGAAGGGCTGTCCGTGGGGCAGGAACAGCTGCTGGATGTCACTCAGACAGGCAATTTTGAACACCTCTGGTTTCTTCTCAATCACCTCCCTGGGGCAGCCAGGGCCGTGGGCAGAAATCAGAAGATGGCAGGGTCAGGTGCCACGGGGTCTAGCTCAACGGACACCCAAGCCTGTCCCTCCCGGAAAGGGTCCGTGGGTGTGTGTCCTACGGGGGTGGTTACCTGTGGAGGGCGGAGAAGAGGCTGCTGGGAGACAGCAGGAGGGGTCCCTTGGGGAGGCCGCAGCCCCGCTCGCTCACCCACTGGAGGTAGCTCTTGGTGAGTTCTGCCATGCCGATGGCCCGTGCCGAGCAGTATAGGAACTTGTACCCGTTTCTGGGGGTGGGGGACAGGAGAGGCACACAGTCGTCAGAGACCAGCCCTTCCCTGCCCCGCCCTCCTTGGCTTCCGCCAGCTCAGTTTAACCCCGGAGCTCTGGCCTTCAGACCCAGATGACTTAGGGAGAACAGCTACGTGGCCTCAGTAGCTGTCCCACGTAGGAGGGGCACGGACAGCATCCTGAGGCCCAGGTGGAGCAGAATGGACAAAGTTTGAGCAAGTCTATAGGCCTCCTCGACAGCATGAAGACCAGCAGTTAGAGTCAGAAGCCAGACGCCAGGAGACTGGTCTTTCGCCGGCGAATGGAAGACCAGCCAGTAGGCGCAGTGCTCCAGGGACATGCCCGGGGCTCACTCCCTCGTGGGCTTCCTGGTCTCCAAGCCTGGCTTCCTGGAGCAAAGGCTACAGTGGCCTAAGCCATTCTGTGATTCCCTCCCCAGGGCCCTGCCCCAGCCCGGGCACTCACAGGTGGATTTTGTGGTAGAGACTGGTGATGCCCTGGTGTGTCCAGTCCTTCCCCAGCTGGGGCAGAATATGGCCCAGAGCGTCTGACCTAGAGCCACAGAGGAACAGTCATTTCGAGGCAGCCCCATGTAGCCTTCATGTGGCCCAGCCCCCAGGACGGCGCACCCGGGTGGAGGGCCTTTCTTGACGTTCCCCTTCCCCCAGCACAGAGGAGGCCAGTCCCAGGCCCTCCCTCTCTCCCCTGGCCAACCAGGCCTCACTTGGTGATGGTCCCGTCGATGTCGGAGATGACCACCTTGTCGTCCCATTTCCACAGATAGATGGTGGCCCTGCAGCGGCAGGTGCCCTGGTACTGGGTGGTCACACTGAAGACCACGTCATTGGCACCTTCTCGCAGGTTCAGGCGCCGCTGGGGCCGGGCAAAGGGGGGGAAGCTGTGATCTGCTCCAGCCTGGTGTGTCCACCGCCCACCACCCCAAACCGTGACCTGTGAGCCCCACAGCCTCCTCTTCCTCCCAGCGCAGAGAACCTGCCGGAATTCATCAGAGACATGTCCACGCGGGCAGAGGGTGGCCCCGGGCAGTGAGGCGGTACGACGGTGCTGGTCGGGGCCTGCACAGGCAGGCACGGGAGCCCTAACCTCCCTTCCTGCCCCTTTGGGGTGAAGCTCGCAGATGAAGCCTGGTCCACGACTCCCGCCCAGGGTTCTTCGGTCGTCCCTAAGGCTGGCATTGCTCCTGGTGGGGAGACACCCCATTCCGTAGAAGGGACCTTCTGGGGATCCTCACAGGTACTTGTGACATCCCCCCCAAAGAGAGATCTAGCCCTGTCCTTGGTCCCTAGAGAAGAACCAGGGTGGCTCTCAGCCACAGCCGGTGACCAAGGCTATTGGGCGCTGGCTGACCCCAAGGTGGGTGTCACACAGGGCCACCACACAGACGGTAGCTGCTGTGTACCAGGCTGGCCCTCCTGGGCCCCTCCCCGACAGAACCACACTCAGGGACCAGCTACTGAGCTCACAGAAGGGCTCAGGGGCAGGGACTGCCAAAATCTAAGGGGCTGTCATCAGTCTTCCATTCCTCCCCAGTGGCCTCTAGAGCAGACCCAGCACCCCACCACAGGTACATGTTTTAAGACAACATAGAGAAGTCGTCTAGCAAAGAAATGGGTTGGCACATGGAGAAGTGAGCCCCCTGACCCCGGAGGTATTCAAGCAGAGGCTCTTAGGGAGGCTGCCGAAAGGATGGATTCTGGGCTTTTAAATTCCACAGAGCCTAACTGTCTCAGCCCCACCCACCCCCACCCGGACACACCCACACACACACTCACGATCTGGCTGGAGGAGAGGCGGAGGGACTTCCTATAGGTAGGAGTGTAGGCTGGAGGCGAGGGTGGCAGGGAGGGGACCTCGAGGATCACAGGGCTCTCTGGGGCGTCATCCTCACTACTCAGCATGTCAGTCTTCGTCCTGCGGGCAGCCTGACTCTCAGGCCTCTGTCCTCAGCCAAGACCCTGCACTCCCAGCAGATGCTCACCCCTTGGCCCAGGCCACAAGAAACCTGGGGCTTGTCCCTGCCCCTCCAGAGACCACCCAGGGGATCAGAAACCTTTCCTAGGTGCCACCCATTTGGAGAGGGGTAGCAGAATTAAGGGTGCAGGTCAACTATATACATTCAGAAAGGGGCCAGGGCTCCCGGCCCTCAGTGCATGGTCAGGATAGCCTTGGAGGTGGTTACCTAAAAGACCCAGGTGTGCGTCTTTGGGCTTATTCCCAATCCCACCTGCTTTGGCTTCAGCTGACCCGCCCCTGGTCATCCCTCATGCCCGAGCTTGGGTATCGTGGTCACTTGTGAAGAAGGCGAGGTCAGTCGGCCCCTGGCAAAGAGGGGGAGGCCCCACCCCTCGCACCCCTCCTTAACACAGTAATCCTTGTCTGGGCCAGGAGTCTGAGCACCTGTTCCAGCTCTGCCAGTTCCCAGCTGTGGAACATGTGGCGTATCTCTAGGCCTGTTTTCCCATCTGTGAAATGGGGGCATTTCTCAAGAAAAAGAAAGTGACTGGGTAGTGACAAAGAACCACTGCTGGTGGAGGGGTGCTGGTGCCCCCCTACCCCCACAGGGATGTCCCCAGGCTCAATCCAGCTGCAGAGCGCCAGCCAAGACACGCAACTCACCCCTGCTGCTCCCTGGCTGTGCTCTTCTCCACCTGGGCACTGCGCTGTGGGAAGAACATACATCTAGTGAACCCCGCCTCCTGCCTGTGCGGACCATACCCTTGACCATGACCACTCACCTCCTCGGCCGGGAAGTCCCTGCGTCGCCAGGAAAACCACCACCGTCCACCTTTCCGGGGCATCTTCTCCTTCTCCAGTTTGTCCACAGTGCTCTGTGAGCAGATAAAGGCCATGGCATTTTTTCCTACATCACCAAAACCTATTTTTCATTGCCCATGGGGCCCCCATGAACCCAGAGTCTGCGGCTGACCCTAGAGCAAGGTGCTGTCAACATCTGGAAGCTGTGGAAGCATCCTCCCTCCATCCTGGGATTCCACACAGTGACTAAGCACAGGAGACCAAGGGCTGCTCTTGCCAGTCTCCACTGTACTCCAGCCCAGACCCCCTAATTCTCCCCCAGCCTCAGCCTGGCCTCCAGACCCTATGGGCCAGTGCTGCTACTAGAGTAGCTGAAGGCAGTGCTTTGATGTTTCTCAGGCTCTAGTACTCTGTGCATGGTGCCACTGAGTAACAGCTGGAACAATCTACAGCCAGAAGTCCCCTCAACCTCCGAGACCAACATAGGCAACCCCAAAGGCCAGTCACTCTATCCCATGGACGGCCTCCCTCTCTGTGTTACCACCATTGTCTGGTGGGGGCAGCATGTCCTTGGGAAGATGCTCATTACAGGTGTGCTAGGTGGGCCCAGGGAGAGGCCCTCCCAGGGGACATATCAGCTTCCTACAAACAGAATGGTGAACCCAAGTCAGGAGGACATGACCTGGAGGTGGGTCAGCCAGGGTACCCCCTTGAGCTGGAAACAGGCTGGGGTTGTCTCCCAGGGGCCTCAGGTGGTGGCTGTCGGTGGAAGGTGAGGAGAACCAAGCAGGAGAGTGGCCCTCCTCCTTCCCACAGGCTCTGGTACTAGCTCAGACCCAGAGCCAGCCAAAGGATGGAGCTGAGTGTCAGCTAAGGGTGGCACCGGCTGTCAACATCTGGTTAGTGATGTTCTCGGGCAAGTCTAACTGATTCAGGAACCATGGGCCAGATTAGGGCAGGGCCCTGTACCACTCCCAGTGGTAGGAGGGGCACGTACAGGTCGGAGAGTGGAGGTTCTGGGAGGGACCGAAGAGGCCAGGTTCCTTCCCACCTCTGAGCATCGCCACATGCTGTTCCCCTCCCCTCATCTGCTTACAGATTACTCATCCTTCACATCTCTACCCAGGAGTCACTTGCTCAACAAACTCCCATTTCAGCCTCTCAAAGCACCCCAGCTCCCTCCCAATACCCATGGTTGAATTTTACATTCATCTAGCAGAGTCTTTGATTACTGTCTTTCTGGGAGGGCATGACTGGCCCTGGCCGGTACACAGTAGGTACTCAACAAATGCATGTCAATAAAGCAAGCCACTTCCCACAGCCCAGCCTGGAGACGTTCTTGGGGTAAGGCGAGGAGTGGGCCCTCTGTCTCCCAAGCCTCGTCTCTTAGATCTAAAAGCCTCCTGTTGCAGGTTATCATCCCCTCTGGTTTGCCCTGAGCTCCTTTGAAGTCAAGTCCCCAAGAGTCACCTTGCTCTAGGGTCAGCCACAGACTCTGGGTTCATGGGGACCCCAAGGGCAATGAAAAATAGCTTTTGGTGTTGTAGGAAAAAATGCCATGGCCTTTATCTGCCCACAGAGCACTGTGGACAAACTGGAGAAGGAGAAGATGCCCCTGCCAGGATTCAGCCACACCAGGAAGCCGGGGAAGGGTGGGGCTCTGTCCGCACGGCATGGGGCAAGGCTCCAGGGGACTCAGTATCCCCTCTCAGAGTGGGTCTTATAGCCGGTCAGCCCCAGACCCATCTCTGCCCACTGTCCATTTCTTGGCCATAACCCCCTACCCTCAGCAGGCCCACTGGTGCTCTGACTGTTACCTTGGGCAAGTTTTTCTGGAAGGCTTGCAGGGAGAGGATCATGGGGGCAGCTACAGCCCAGTTATAATGCCTGGAGAGACAGAAGAGGAGTCGGGGCTGCAGCCATAGCATGGTGGCGGGCACGGGGGCTCTGGGGCTGCCAGCGGCTCAGCCTTGGTACTCACTTCTCATTGATTTTCACCACCAGGTTCGGGTGCTCAAGGAGGCCAGGGTTTTGGACGAGGTCCTGGTAGGAGACGATGTGCTGGTTGAATTTCTCTGGGCACAGAGGCAGAGAGTAAGGAGTGAGGCTGCCACATTTGAACGGGACCTGCTGCCTACCCCCTGACCCCCGACCCCAGCGCCCGGCACTCTGCCATCAGGCCTCCTGCCGGATGGGTGTTCTACTTAGCAGGACTCCTCCCCGTCTGCGGTTTTGGCACCTGCTGTGCCCACCCCAGGTATTTGCCATCCCGGGTTCACAGGATAAGTCACAGCTTAGCCTTAAGTTAAGCATTTGCTCTGTGGGGTCTTGGGAATGCGCTGCCCTCGCTGGCCACAAGGGGCTCCACAGAGCAGAGAACAGCAAGGGTGCCCAGCCTGCTGCCTGCTACTCCGGGGGCCTCCCCGCCCTCCCCCATCCCCTGGCTCAGTGCCAATCCTTGGAAAGGTTCAGGCCATGATCAGACATACCCCAGGAGATGTCCCGGCTGTCAGCTAGTCCACCACAGAGGGACAGCACTATCATGTCCACTGGGTCCAAAGTAGGTTCTACTTCCTGTTCGGGGTTGGGGTCCTCCAGGGGCTTCTGGCCGTTGGGTTCACTCCACCTTCTGGGCCCCAGCCCACAGTCACTGAGGGCGAAGAGGCCAATAGTGATGTGAATACAAGGAGGCTGGGAGGAGGGGCCCACCCCTCCAGGCCCTTGGTAGCCAGCCCCTGGCCCCACCGGCCCCAATCCCAAAACACCCTGTAACCCAGAGCCCAGGCACCTCTGGGGGAAGTAAAGGGCTGCGTTCTCAGAATCCAGAGAGGGTAAGTCGTCCAGATAGATATCACTGGGCCCCAGGTGTTGGCTTCTCTTCAGGGAGCCTGAGGGCAGAGGGACACCTATAGACTTGACATGTGCTTAGCAGCGTGAGCAGTGTGTCCCCTGGTCTCTGAATGCCCTAAAGCACCACCGTCTGGTAGGACTTTTGAGGATGACAGAAATGTCCCCGACTTCCTGTCCGATATGATAACTGCTAGCCACATGTCTGTATCAGCACGCTGAAAATGTGGTGTGAGGGAGAAATGGAATTTTCAGTGTTATTTAATCATAATCAAGTTTCACGTAGCCATAGATAACCAGCAACTACTGTTCTGGATGGCGAGTCCTTGTACCTTCCCACACTCGTAGGATAAACCCCAGCCCCCGCACCAACCATCCAGCATCTGCTCCTCTCCCGCCGCCCCCCTCCCCCCACTGCCTTCTTCAAGACACACCAGCTGCCTCCGTGCCTAGCTGAGCAGCCTCCCTCCCACTTCATGGCCTTAACACATGCTCTTCCCTCTGTCTAGAATTCTCTTCCCTTGACCCTTATCTGGGAGTCTTTATTGGTAGAGTCTCAGCTCATGCATCACCCACTCAGAGGCCTTCCCCGACCACATGAGTTAAAGAGCCTCCGACCCGACCAATGATCCTGTCCTGCATCACCCATGGCATGCTCTTCCTGTTTATGCATGCTTCGCCTATCTGCCCCACTGGGCTGTGAGCCCATGGGCGCTGGTGCCAAGCACAGTGCTTAGCATACAGTAGGTGCTCAAAACATGCTTGAAGTGCCAGAGTCCAGCCAGTGGGTAACATGAGGCCAGGAGCAGCCTGGGTGGGGTCCTGCGATCACTCACCTTTCCTCCTAGACACCCCCTCGGGCTGCCTGGCGGGAACTGGGGCCTCCAGCCTGGCCCAGCTCCATGATTTCGAGGGAGGAGGGAGGCCTGGATCCCTTCGGCTCTGAGTCTTGGTTTTCTTTCTCTCAGGGGTGGGGAGAGGGGGACCCACCAGAGCAGGAGGCTCTGTGTCAGCAGGAAGAAGGTCAGCACCAGCCCCCGTCTGCAGGATTAGGGGTCCCGAAGGGTCCACACCAGCCACAGGGGCGGAGGGGGTGATGGGCTCTCCCTGAAGAGGAGGGGCTGCCGCAGCACTGCCATCAGCGACCTTCGAGGACTCAGGCCATTCTGCTTTGGCCACCTGCAGTCAAACAAATGGGGGCGGGGAGGGGGGTGTAAACCAGCGCAGGTCCTGCCTCCCACACCCCACAAGGCCTTCGGGTCCCGAGTATCAGTCACTCCACTTCTGACCTGCAGGGGGCGCAGAGCTGCAGAAAGGCAGGCTCGGGAGGCGGACGGTGGAACTCACCTTGGGCAGCCGCCCCCAGGCCCACTGTAGGTGGGACTCAGCTCGCAGGGGGCTGGGCTCCGGGGTCCGCAGCTCCAGCTCCGAGTCGCTCTTAGGGGATGTTGTTAGCACATCCGGCAAGAGGCTGCCGAAACAAGAACTTAGAGACCCTCACGCCAGGGTCTCTGCCACCCACCACTGCCCACCCCAGCCTGGGGGGAAAAAATTTTGTGATACGTATTCGTGCCTATGTTTGGATCCAGAATGTATAAATATATGAAAGACTCCTACAAACCAAAAACAATGAGGCAGTCTAGTTAAAAAAAAAAAATAAAGGGCAAAGATTGAATAAACACTTGACAAAGGAGATATAGAAATGGCTGATAAACACATTCAGTATGTTCTATGTCATTACTCATTAGGAAAATGTAAATGGAAGCCAGTCTAAGACCTTGGCCTTGAGTCCCCGCCTGCAGGCCACCTAGACTCTCACCTGGCCTGGGGGCACCACTCGCCATCAGAGTAGGGGTAGATGTCTTTGGCTTGCGGTGAGGACTCCACTTCAGACTGGACGGTGCTGAGGGGCCACAGGGAAATAAACAGTCACTGACAAGGACAGGGTACTCGGGGCAGGGCACAGGAGCCTGGGCATCAGGGGTTTGCGGAGGTAAAGCCCAGAGAAATCAAGGTCCTTGCTCAGGGTCACACAGCATCAGCAGAGGAAATGATGCTTGAATGCTGGTCGGTATCCCCATGCCCTTGTCTCCCAGGCCCCCACACACCCAGGGGGCTCCTGCCTTGGCTTTTCCAGGAGGGACAGTTCACTTTCAGCGCCTGTCTCCAGCTCCTCGGAACTGGAATGGGCTGCCACCGTGTCTTCCTTCCGCCTGGGTTTTCTTCTGCGACGCCTCTTCTTCCGCCCCGTGGAGGCCACCCCCTCAATGACGATGGCCTCAGTCTCACTGTCTGTGCTCAGCTGGGAGTCTGAGGGGAGCCCAGACAGGCCCCCGCAAGGGATGGGTGATGTGCAGAGGCGGGGAGGCACATGTTCCTGTGGAAGAGACCAGGCGCTATAGCCTGGGGGGCCCCCTCACCACCCAGACATTCTGAGCCCTGCCTGAGTCCCAAGGCCCTGGAGTGAGCTCATTTGGGGTCAGGAAAACAGGCATGGAGGCTGGTCAGAGGCAGCAGCAGCACGGCCTTGCCACCGCCACCGGCATCGGAGCTCCCGGAGACAGAGTGGCCCCAATCCCAGGGGCTGCATGTACCCCGGGAAGTTCGTGGCAGGCCAGGGTGCTGCATGAACCCCACTGCCCAGGTGGAAACCTGGACACTGGCTCCTCATTCTCTGACCATACCTGCTTTCCCTTTAAGACTCAGCCAGGCATCCCCTCTTCCAGGAAGCTTACCCTGACTATCCCCAGCCCCAGTTCCAACTCCCTTCATTATAATGACCAAGTAGTTCCATCATCTGTTGTTTGTATGTCTGTCTCCCAGGCTAGTCTGGGAAGCTTCTCCGGAGACAGGGGCCACCCCTCATCTGAGTCCACGGCACAGTGTCTGGCATAGAGCAGGGCTCAGTTAAAGTTTGTGAAGCTCAAATTGTTTAAACCGCTCTGCTGGCTTGTGTTGGGCTCTGCCTCCCTTCTGCAAACACCCCTCTCCTCAGCCCTCACCCACACACTTCCATGTTCTAACTGCATCGAGGCAGCACCAGATCCAGAACCACCCATCTCCTGCTCACCAGCCCCCCACCCCCACCCGGACCATTCCTCAGCACTCCCCTCCTTTCAAGCTGCCCTGGGAAGGCCTCCTTTTCACCCTCCAGGGGCCCAGCTCAGGTGTCCTCTTCTGAGAAATCTTCCCCAACTCTCCGGGAAGGAAATCACCCTTACTGCCCCCTCCCAACTCTACCCAGGCGCCAACAGCATGCCTCCAGAGCCAGCCCTAACCAATCCCCCTGCATCAGGCTCTTGCTGCCGGGGTACTCCCAGGGGTGGGGTCAGTGACCAGTCCCAAGGTCCCTCCCAAGAAGGGCACTAGTGAAGGGGAAGGGGCAGGTGCCACAAGGCGCTTACATCATCGCTGTCCAGCTCCTGGATAAAGAAGGCCTCCCCACTGTCCCCCAGCTTCATGTGCAAGTCCACAGGCTCCCCGTTGATCTCGATGTCCACCTGTAACGGGGCATGGTGGCACACAGTCCCCACCACTGTCCCTTACCCCCACCTTCTAGTCTACTGTCCTGCCTGCCTCCACGGAGCACTGCACTTGCTGGAACTTCTGCCCTCCCCACACAGACCCTGGCTGCTCCCCACCCTGAGGGTCTCTGCTCAAGTTCCCCTTCTCAGAGAGGCTGCGCTGAATTCTCCATGCCCCTGCCCCCACTGTCTCCCCGTTCTCTGCGCTTTGTGGCACACATCACCGTCTCAGTATTCTTGTGTCTGCCTTGGTTTCTATTCTCTCCGCCACCCCCGTTGCAACAAGACATAACCCATCTTTCGCTGCTGTTTCCCCCACCCCCAGGATACTGCCAGAGCGCTTGCTGACGGCACATACAATAGTCCAAATGACCATTTTCTAGGCACTGAATGGAGAGTTTCATCAGGACTCTCCTGTTTAACCTTCCAGCAACCCTGTGCAGTAGCTCCTATCACTGCCCCCACTCTATAGATGAGGAAACTGAGGCTCGGGGGTGTTAAGTAATATCCTGGGAAGTGGCCAAGTGAGGCTGTGAGCCAGGAAGGCTGAGTCCACAACCCAAGCTCTTAACCACCTAGCTGTCTGCTGTCCCCTACAAGCTTATGCTTTCCTCAGGATTCTGGTAAGTCCCCGGTGGCCCCAACACGAAGGGATTTGGACCCCCAAACCTCTTTTCACATTCCTGACCTCAGTGCTAACTAAAATCTGTCCCGTTCGCCGGGGCCCAGAGAAGACAGCGCGGCTTTCCTAAGGGAGAGAAGCTAACCTTTGAGTGCCACCCACTCCTATTGAGTGTCATCAGCTCCTACTTCATGCTCCTAAAGCACCCCTCCAGCACCAGGTAGATGAGAGTGTATCCATTTGCAGAGGTGAAAAGGCTTACCAAGAAAACCCACGTAAGCTCTTAGGAAAGTGGAGGCAGGTTTGATGGCCCCAGTACCAGGGACTGAGACTGCCCCGCTGTGCTGGCTCCACAGGAAAACGAGAACCCTCCTGGACCCAAATCCCCGAACAAACTCAACACTTTCCAAGAAAATGTGAATGAACGGAAGCTTGTCCCGAAGACAGATCCCCACCTGAGGGAGGCCTCAGTCCTCTCCTGGGGCTGCGTGGCTTTAAGAGCCCACCCTACCCTTGGCTGGCCAGCACTCACCACCTTCTCTCGCGACCGCAGGACGCCCAGCTTGCCGAAACGCACATGGAAGGGTGAACATCGGAAGGAGCCGTCCACTTGCTTCACCACCAGCACATCAATGCCACCGCTCAGCGTGGCCGGGTTCAAGCCCCGGTATATCTCCTTCACCGTCCCAAACACCGTCTCTGCCAGCTGCCCCACGTAGTTCATGGCTGGTGCTGGCAAAGGGAGGGGGTGCTGGGGCGAAGGTCAGACCCACCTCCCTCGGCAGGGAGTCTGCAGCCAGGTATAACCCCCAGGTCCTCAGACTTACAGTAAGTTGCCCTCGGTGCACCTTTGCCGACGGGCAACAGTTGTGGGACAGGAAGTGTGTCTGCAAGTGTGGGCTCTAGTCCTGGCTTGCCCACCAGCCTGCTGTGGGACCCTTGGGCAGCTGCCTTCCTTCTCCAAGTGCCAGTCTCCACATCTGTCGAATGAGAGCACCAGGTAAGGCGATCTGGGGAGCCCTGCGTCTCTAAATGCCATGAGTAATGATAATCACCATGGTCTTCAGTGGTAGGGCTCATTTCAACTTCACAATAACCTGCGAGGCTGGCCAAGCGGGTATCATTACTGCTGTTTATAGACAAGCCACCTGAGGCTCAGAGGTGGCGTGATCTGTCCGGCATCTCACAACTAGTAAGGAGAGGAGCCAGGATTCGATCTCAGGCCTGTATGGCTGCAGAACTCTCAGGGTGAACCACTGGGTTGGCCCAATTGTGGCAATATATCATGAGGGGGAGGCAGCCTCATGATATATCAGGCCCAGGGCCTTGCTGGGGGACAGCCCTAAAGGCTGACATCTTCCCAGGAAGTAGGGAGGAGAGAGTCTCTGTCCTTCCATCTGGGAAATGGGTTCATCTGTCTTGCTGTCTCCTGATCTTAGGAACTGGAAGGAGCCTTGCTGGGCCATCAGGGCTGATCTGTGGAAAACCAGGGGTAGGGTACACCAGGTATCTAAGGCTCTGCCCAGCTATACCTGGCGTCAGAGGCTTGGGGCAGGGCATCCGCTACAGCTGGGGGTCGAGTGAGCTCTCAGTTTATGGCCCCACATACCAAACTCCTTCCCAGTTTCCCTGGAACAGGTCCACAGTCTGACCCCCATGTCTCTAGGCCATAGTTCTCAAGCTTGACCTCCATTTCTGAGACCCTGGTTCGGCTGGTCAGGCCCTGAGATCCACATTCAGGCCTTGGGCTGGTCCCTGAACCCGTCAAAGCTGCCCCTCTTCCCCCCAGCCAGACCGGTCCCTCCAGCTTTCCCACAGCAGGCAGAGCTGGGTAAGCCAGAAGCGGAAGGCTGTGGCGGCCGTGGAGAAGAGCCAGGGCCATAATGAGAGCCGCTTCCACGCTGGCATGGTGCCCGCCCTGCCCGCATCAGCTCATTGCCCCTTCTCTGCTGGCCGGCCCAGGGGCCTAGTGCCCCTCTGGCTGCCAGGGTCCAGGCCACCCACCCCCACAGGGCACTCCCATCTCTTACACCCTGCGTCAGAGCCCCTGGAGGACGACCCACCATGCAAGACCACTCCTCAAAGAAGTTAAGTGACTTATCCAAACGCTATTCAGCTAATAGGCCATAGGTGGGGGGAGGGAGTGATGACTTGTATCCTGGTTTCCTGACTCCATACCACGGTTCCTGCCACTCCACAGTCCTCAAACCACAGCCACAGCTGTCTGCAGGGAGGGCAGCCCCGCCCCAGCCCACCTCTGCACACCCCTGCAATGCCTTGCCACTCAAAATGTGGCTCATGGCTCAACAGTGCCAGCCTTACCTGGGGGTGGGGAGGGGGGGCTTTTTAGAAACATAGAGTGTCACAAACGTAAGATACAATTAGAATTGCTAAAATGAAACCTTTGGATAAAATGAAGCTTTTTGATACCAAAAACGCCACTCGAATTTAATAAATATTTCCCCCGCAAAGCACCTACTATGTGCTAGGTGAAAATTTCCACTTTGGTTCCTCCCTACCACACCACATTCTGTGAATAAAAGGTCTAGGAAGACAGACAGACAAGGACAGACATGTGATGGGCAGGGCTCTAGGCCCCTGTGCCCAAGAAAGCAGAGGACTTCAGAGGTTTCCAGGAACGAGGCAGCAAGCATGGGAGGGGCAGGCCAGGAGTGGGGGCAAAGGTTCGCCCAGGTGGAGGCTCAGGTCTGCGCTCTCTGTCCTGCCAAAGAGCTGAGCTGGGGAAATAATGACGGGTCCAGCTTACCTATCAGAGTTTCTCAACTTCAGCACCACTGCCACTGGGGCTGAATAATTCCTTGCTTTGGGGGGAGTGTAGGCTGTTGGGCAACACTCGTGGTCTCTACCCACTGATACTAGTATTACACCCCCACCCCAAGTTGTGACAACCAAATTGTCTCCAAACATTGTCACATGTCCTCTGGGGAACAAAAGTGCCCCTGGTAGAGAGCCACTGACATAGGAGAAAGAGCTGAGCGGCAGAGATGGCACCCCAGGGCACTGGGTCCTACTCTGGCCCTGTCATGGGGCACCCTCACGCAAGGGACTTGCTAGCCTGTTTCCCCTTCATGAAACAAAGCCTCGACTTTTCAAACCCTTCTCAGCCAAGAATTCATTCCTCCCACGGCCGCCCCACACCCAGATGCCCCCTGCATCTGTCTGCTCAGCATTTGGGGACACTCCTGTGAGTCAAGCCCTGTACCATCTCTGGAGGCATCTCCTCTCCCCCAGGACCCAGCCCTGCCTCTCTGGTCTTCCCTATATGAAAAGTGCTGCTTGGCTCCCTTACACCCCAAACTAGCATGTCTATAATCAAACACTTCACTTCCCCCCTGGGGACCCAGGCCAGCTGAATTCCTCGCGAGATTTATGGGAGTCCCTCCCTCCTGAGCCCTCTGAATCCTATTCCCCAACGTCCTGCCCTTCCTGCTCTCCTAGGTCAAGGCTTTACTACCGGATGCCCAGATCCTGAGTGGCAACAGGACGCTACGGGTAAGGTACCAGACTGTTGGGGTTCTAATTCTCCCCCTGACACTCACTCTCTGTAACCCTGGGCAAATCACTTCACTTCTCTGAGCTTCAGTTTCAGCCTCTGAAACGGGCATAAGGGATGTGTGAGTAATTAATGAGATAATTCAGGTAAAGCACTAGCAGGCAATAAATGCCCACACTCGTCACCTATCAACAGTAGTATCTTTTCTGGCATCGTGACAGCCCCGGTCAGCAGGCTGGTCCTTAGGGCACACTACAGGTCAGACTCCACTGCACTGCCCTGCCCACCCTGGAGAGGTTAGGCTTCTTTACATAGCATTCGAGGCCCCGCACGCTGGTGGCCCACTGTTGGCAAAGTGAGCAGGTGGGCTCTCGGCGGGCCTCGTGGGATCCGCAAGCCTCAGAGTCCCCTCTGGGAACACCCACAGCCCACCACAAGGGAGCCAGAACAAGCCGCCCTGGGGCTGAGCTCTTGGCCTCTCTAGATTCCCAGATTCGGGGAAGGGGAAGGGGACAGCTCTTCACCTGGGGCCAGAAGAAGCAGGAGGGTAAGTATTCCTATAGTCCTGGAAGGGAGGAAGCTGCACCCCCGGATCCCCAAACTCCCTTCACAGCTACTGCCATCTGACTCGCCCAGTCTGCAGGCGCGGGACACTCAGTACCAGAGAGGGTGGGCGACCTCCCCAAGGTCACACAGTCAGGCTGGGGTGACGCTGCGTCAGCCTCCTCTGAGAGGTTTTGTCATCTTATCTTCTGATCCTACATTCTGGATGTCCGGGGTCCCGCAGCGGCTGGGCCAGGTAGAGAGACGGCGTGAAACGGCCCCTCCACGCCTGAGCTACCCTCTGACGTCTGGGGATGGACTCAGGCCCGCGGACAGGAAGGAACGCGGGCCAGATGGCAGGACAGATGGGCGGGGCAGAGGGGGGTACCGCTTCTCAGGCCGGGGTCAGGCCCTACCTGGGGAGCTGCCCACTGGACCTCCGGGACCCCGAGCCGCAGCCTCTGCCCGAGTGCACAGGGTAAGTGTCCTCGGCCCCGCACTCAGTTGGAGCTTCCGTCTCCTCTAGGACCGAGTGAGATCCCGGCTCCGCCCCTTCCACGAGCCAAGGCCAGTGTCTACAGGCCCCAGTCCGCCCAGGCTCCACCCAGCAAAAAGACCCCGCCTCCGCCCAGTCCCCACGCCCAAGGGCGCCCTTTCACCTATAGAGGCTGGGCGGAGCCGGACCTCAGGCCCCGCCCCGCGCAGGCCCCACCCCGGCCCCGCCCCGCTCCCTAAAGCTGCTGGGTGGGCCGTCCCGCTGGCGCCCCAGCTGCCCCACTGCCAGGGACGGCGGAAAAGCGGGGACTTTCGAATCCCGCCGACTTAGGCCCTCCTGGCTTTTTTTTTTTTTTTTTTTTTGCTGTAGGACCTTGGGTAAGTTTTCCCCAACCTGAGCCAGTTTTCTGTTTGGCAAAGCCACCTCGTAGGATTTTCGAGATTACATGAAATGACTTTGTGGGACCACCTGGCGCTCACACGTCCCCTCCTCAGGGGCAGCTTCCCCTGACCGTCCCATCACACCCCGTAGACTGGACAGGGGCCTCGCATCATACGCTCACATAGCCCACAGTTGTACCTTGGTATTTGCTTGAATGACAGTTTGATTATTGTCCATCTCCGCATTTGAAGCGGCACTTTGTGAAAGCAGGTCGTATTCATCCTTATATCCCAGAGCTCAGTGCAGTGCCTGACATACAGCCGGAGCTCAATAAATGCCCACTCTCCTTCATGCCATCCATCGGACACACCGGTGGAGGGTCAATACTGCTATCGGCCAGCAGAGGGCAGGCAGTGACCAGCGTTTTCGCCCTGCTGACCCTCTCAGCCGGCAGGTGGGGCGGGAGCGGGCCAGGTGAACCCAGGTGCGCGCACGAGCCTCGGACGAGGAGTCGGGCTAGGACACGGGTGTTCTTTCCCCTCGGATCTGTCGCCTGTCCTGGATCAAAGGCCTCTCTGACAACCCGTGTGGACATACGGCTCCTGCAAAAAAGATGCGCTAAGAATCATGAGGTGAAGGGGCGCCTGGGTGGCTTAGTCGGTTAAGCGTCCGACTTTCGCTTAGGTCATGATCTCGCGGTTCGTGGGTTCGAGCCCCGCGTCGGGCTCTGTGCTGACTGCCAGCTCAGAGCCTGGAGCCTGTTTCAGTCTGTGACTCCCTCTCTCTCTGACCCTCCCCTGCTCATGCTGTCTCTCTCTCTCTCTCTTTCTCCTAGAAATAAATAAAACATAAAAAAAAAAAAGAATCATGAGGTGAGGGAGTTTGCTGTGAAGAGGGAGAGCACCAAGGAGATAGATGCTTGGAGGACTGGGGTGCCTTGTAAAGAGCCTGGCTTAGAAGGTCCTGGGTGGTGGGGAGTGAGAGGTGGCCGCCATTGTGGGACCTTGGTGGAGTGACTGTCCCCAGTTGTCCTCACTATAGCAAGAACCATTTAGTGTCAGTCCTAAACCCAGGCTGTGTCCGGCTGGTCTCTCAAAAGGGCCCTTTTGGGAGCAGAGCTATATCAACGTGGCCAGAGGGCAGCGCTGCCTCCAACATATCTGTGGAAGTGTAATATGTAACTATTATATTTAACAGTGAAACCGTGGAAACAAAGGAATCCCACAAGGGAGCCTGGGAGGAAAGGAGAGGTCCAAGGTGATGGCTACCGATGCCATAGTTACTGTACCTCTTTGAGCCTCAATTCGTCATCTGCCAAATGGAGATAAAACCTATCTTGCAGGATTGTGTTGTGAGGATTAAGCAGGATGAACTCAATCAGTGCTTCTTCACTTTGGCTGTGCATTGAGATCATCATACTCCAGGAAAATACTGATGCCTGGGGTACTGGGATCACCTGGGAAATCTTCAGGCAATGGCACTATGCAGCCAAGGTTAAGAACTACTGAGCTAAATGCTGAACACAGCACAGGGCTCACACTAAGTATTCAATAATGTTTATATCACATTTTAAAAAATGGAGCACATGCTGTTTCTACTGTTCCTCTTTAGTGAAGAAATAAGTTGGTATAAAGGTTGTTGCAGCAATTGGCTTGTTTCTGGAACTATGAATCATTGGGATTTGGTGATGACGGGGATGGGGGAGACAGAGGCAACCGCTGGTGATATGACTTATCCTAACGCCCAACTGAACTGAATGAGGCAGGGACCACCCTGTTCTAGCTTGCAGTGTATAGAACTGTTTCCAAGGCATGCTCTGAGCGTGCAGGCAGCCTGGGCTCTTGCGTTTGCTCATGTCTGGGGCTCAGGATAGAGGCTGCTTCCTCCCCTCCCTGGATACACTCACCAGGCAGGCTTATACCATTGGCAACTATTTGTCTCTTGAGTAACCCACAAATGCAGGTGGCACCTCCCTCTTTAAGGGACTTGGTAACTTTAGGTGCTTCATTAAATTACAGACTCAGTGATTATTTACTGTGCCTCACTACTTCTTCACTTGGGTGAACCTGGTGTGAAGTGGGAGGACCCACTCACCAAGGCCCGTGGCTGTGACCACTTGTCATGGCAGCAAGACTGAGCCCAGGAGCAGCTCCACAGTCACTCCTGGTGGCCTCATTGAAAGGGGGAAGGGAGGCAGAGGAAGCTATGGCTGGCTCCCTCCAGCATGGAGGTCTGGGGGGTTGAGGGCCAGGTAGTTAATGTCTCACTAGGATTATCCGATTTAGCAAATAAAAATAAAGAACACCCAGCTGAATTTGAAGTCCAGGTAAATAACAAAAGCTTCTGTTAGTGTAAGTATGTCCTGTGCAATTTGGGACATAGTTATACTAAAAAAAAAAAAAATTATTATTTATCTGAACTTCAAATTTAACTGGATAGCCTTATTTTTATTTGCTAAATCTGAGAGCTCTATGCCTGGCCACAGAATCAGGGAAAAGCCAGCACAGGGAATTTGCTGTGCTGTACCTCCTGCTCAGTGTTGCCACATTCAGCTTCTGCCTGACTATCCTGCTCCAGAACTATGCATGGCTCCCAGCTGCTTCCCTGCTTCCAGAGCACAACCTTGACAGCCTGGCTCTCCTGCCAGCCCAGCTGCCGTGCTTGGACCCTTACCCACCTCTACTGCTCATGTCTTCTCTAATGGCATGTGTCCTTCCCACTCCCAGTAGCAACTGCAAACACTTAGTGACTACCTACTGGGTACAGACACCATGCTTAGTTCTTCATCTGCATAATCTCATCTGATTCTCATAAAACCTCATACAGTAGGTATCCTGTTTTACTGATAAAGAAAATAAGATAGATGCTGCAGGGACACTCCCCCACCCCCACCCCCCGCCCCAGTCTTGGGGTGGGCGGGGAGAAGGGAAAGAACAGGTACTCTGGCAATTACGATTTAAGATGACCAGGCTTAGGCGGACCAAGCCCAGAGGCCCACAGCAGCATGGGACGGGTCAAGGAGGGCTTTCCCAAGTAGATACCTAAGCTTGAAAAATAAGTGGAATTAGTTAGATGAAGAAGGGTGCGCATGATGTTTCAGGAACAAAAGCCCTGCAGAGCTACCTGGGTGTAGTTCAATCTTGAAGATGAAAATGAGGAGAGTGGGGGCCGGGGGAGGTATCAGATTGTATGTGTGGCCGGGCACGGGGTGGGGGGGAGAGGGGGGAAGGGGGACTCTGCTCTTAGAGCAAAGGAAAAAGCTTTCATGGATACTGAGATAGCACTAGGGAAGATGGGGGTTGGGGGTAGAGACGCAGGGCGTGCCAGGCCTTCCTCCGCCCCTAGATCCCCGCTGCTTCTGCACCCGCCCCTCCCCAAACGTCTGCGGAGACTCGACACCCAGTCTCAGCAGAAGGCAGGTGCTCAGTTCCAGGACCCACAGAGTCTAAGGCCAGCTCCTTCCGGGACTGAGAGGCGGGACTACGAGAGCAGGGCGGGTCACCGCTCCACTCTGCGGCCCCACCCATCCTCCGACCCCGACCCCGCCTCCAGCTCCGCCCCCTGCCTCTGGCTCCGCCCCCTGCCTCTGCCCTCCACCTCCGGCTGGAGGAAGCCAAGCTCTGGGCTACTGGCCTGGGTCGGTTTTGCCTCCCATGTTCCTTTTTTCTGCTTATGTGGCAACAGCCATGGGGCTACTGCGGCCTCTTCTCTTAGTTTTTCAAGGACAGGCCCTGGATGTGGTCAGGGATTCCTGGGCTGGAGCACAGGGCACTTCCATAGCTTCCCTGCCAACGAAGCCTTGTTGCCAGCGGAGGACAGAGCCGGCCTGGCCAGGTTGCCTGGCAGTGTGGACTGAGGCTGGGCAGTTCCGATTCCAGCTGTCCTTCCCGGAAAAGCGTCAGTTTGGCTGAACCTTAGAATCCATTTGCAGTTTCTAGCCCGGGGAAGAATACTGGAAGATCATTAACCACCGTAGGAAGTGCACTTTCTGTGTGTCCAAAATCTCTGCAAGACTTACCAGCTGCCCCATGGGCCTGACCTTCAGCAAGGCACCTCTGTGCTTCCTCTTTTTATTTGGGTACACCTTCTGCCTCCACCTGCTCTCTGACATCCAGGACCATGCTTCACTTTGCTCTGCAATTCAAGAAAGATCTCGCATGGTGCCCTCCACTTAAATAGATGTTCGAAATATTGTTTAGGGAAGATCAATTTCTGCTGGGCCTTGAATTATATATAGATGGAGTATATATAGTAGGGCAAGGGCGGTCTAAGTGGGTAGCAGTCGTGAGTAAAGGCACTAAAGAGATGCTGGAGAGAGAAAGTAAGTGCCAAGGAGATGACCTATCTGGCCTTCAGTCCTGGGCAAAACCATGGGCACTGAGGAGCCACGGATGGTTGTTGAGCAGGAGAGCGATAATGTTGTTAGTCATTGTACTAGATCCTTTGTGAATGTTATTGCCCTGTCTGCCCACATTGTTCTCTCCACCTAGACAATTCTCCCCCTGCCCTCCATCTATATAGTTAATGCCAGCTCATTTTTTAGATCCCAGATCCATTGTTACCTCCTCTGCGAAACCTTTAATGGCAGATGGACTCTAAGGTGACCCCCTGTCTCCCCACCTCTGGTGCTCA